CAAGAAGGGGGCGACGGCCGCGCTCGCCGGGCACTTTCAGGGCTACGACAGGAGCCTCGCCCCCCTTCCTCGCCCCCCCTCCCCCAACCCTCGCTCCCTCTGTCATCGGTCCCGGCCTCCCGCTTCCCGCGAGGGCAGACACAACCTGCCGCCCACACCTGCCGCCACCGCCCTTACGCCGCCTCGCCGTCGCCCCCACAGCTCGGGCGTCACGCAGCTGCTGCGCCGCACGCGCATGAAGCGGGACAACGTGGTCAAGGCCGGCTCGAAGACCGCGACGCGGCTCTCCGTGCTCGGCCGCATCAAGCTCGAGCCCGGCTACAAGGCGCCGCCGGTGTTCGATGAGGTGCTGCCGCACGGCCAGGTGTTCAGCTGCACGGCCCTCTACCGCTCCCTCTTCATGGGCGAGGTCAAGGTCGGCGCGCTGTACGACTGGGACGGCCACTGCACGCTTACGCGTGCGCGCGAGTACCGCATGCGGCCATAGGCCGCCGCCTGCTGCCGGCGCGGCCGGGCACTCCGGGAATTTATTTTGAGTACTCTCGTAAACTCGTGACGCTTGTGGGGCTAGTATGTTGTTTTCTGGGGGCGTTCGGGGCGGCGGAGTATTTTTTTGTGCGCGCGGGCGGCCAGGGGCGGCCCCTGGGCGCCCTATGGCCGATTTTTTACAATCGAACACACCCGGCTTGAAACATGGTCCGCCTCGGCGCCTGGTAGGGTAATCAATTATTGCGAAGCGCAGCGGCGGCGCCGCCGCCGGCAGCGCGAGCGGCGCGGGGCCGGCGGCCGATGTTTTGCCCACCAGAGCGACTCACAGCGCCTAGAGCCTAATGGCATCACGACGGTGACACCGACAGGACACGACACTCGACACTCCACACGCCACGAGGCACACATATACATGACGGCAAAACCCAACATCGCGTTGCGAGACCGAGACACCCGCACCGGCACTATGACACAATCGGTTCTACAATGCCGTCCTCCGTGTGCTGACGTCAATCAAAGGAACGTCGCGCGCTACTATGTCGCGCGCGGGCCCCCGCCCGCGTGCAACGCGCTCGCTCGCACAGCTTGTGTGGTGTAGCCTAGCGGAGCGAAGATTCGAGGCAGGGGCGTCCCGATCCATCACCCGTGGTGTCTCTCTCCTACATGGCGCGATTGAGTGTGTACTCAGGCTTGCCGTCGTCGCCCACGGTGGGCGAGATGACATTCGGAAGCGGGAACTCATCGGCACTGTAATTGGTCGGGTAGATGGCGCCGCATCGCGTGTTCGGCCCAAGGTAGTGCTGCGCAGGCGCGGGTGGGTAGCCGAGCGTATCGAAGCCTTGGTAGACGCTGGTCAGGTCGTAAGATGACAGTGAGATGCTTGTGTCGTACTTGAGCACGTATACTGAGTCAAAGTTGTGGCCATCCCAGTGCGTGATGGCTGCTTTTGGGACGCCGAGTGCCGCAGTAAGGTGCTGGATGTTGTGCGACTCCCAAGCGACCAGTATGGTGTCAATGCCCGGCTCAGCAAGCTTGGCCAGCATCTTTCCTGCCGCCGCCTCGTTGCAGCACATGCCGCTGCCAAGCGGGTCGTTTGTTTTGTTCAGACCCTCGTCGTACGGGTAACACGTGCTGCTTGGGTCCTCCGGCTGCGCATTAGCCCAATCCAAGGACAGATTCTTGAATGGTTCTGGCTGCGACATGCGCAACTCGCCGTAGGGCTTCTTCGCCAATGGGTTCCACTTCAGGCCGCAAATGGAAGGCATGAAGCCCGTCGTATTGTCCACCACGAGGCTGAGCCCGCCCGGCGCCGAGTCCGCGAGCGCCGACACGGTTTGCTGGGTGCGATAGAATCCGTTCTTGTCACGACACTCCAGCGGCTCCGCGTAATTCGCCGAGAAGATGTAGTCGGGCGTGCGGAAGGGCGTCCCCGCCAGGCCCATGATTGACTTCAGGTTGTAAGCACGCGTCCAACCTTTTTGCGAGAGGCACTGGTTCCAAACGTCGAGCTGGCCCTCGTCGGAGTCTCCATCGACTTTCTCGCCGTGCCGGATGATGTAGATGAGCTTCTCTGTCTGGAACCTGCTCGCGAAGCCGAGCACCGCAAACACAGTCGCCAGCATCGTGCACTGGTCGACGGCGGTCAATCTCACGATTGTCGATCAAAACCGGCGGGCTTTGTGACGCCGTTTACGCAATCGTTTTTTGGCTTCGCTTTCTCTTTTGCTTGTTTGTATTTTGTTTTTTCTTTTGCGAAGCGACGGAGGGGGGGCGGGCGGGCGCTAACTATGGGCAACTACATGTCGAAGGTTCGAGGACGACTACTCGCCGCCTGGGTCGTTTGGGGCGCGCGGCTCCGTCGAGGACCGGGCGCGCCCCTTACCCGGCGCGGCGTAGGTCCCACTCTGACGTATAGAGGGGAGGCACGGACGATGGCCCGACTCATCAATTCCACTCATCTTCTCCCTCGCCCCTGCCGAAGAATTCTGCGGACGCCGTCCCCGAAGCCGCCGAACGTCTCGAAGTCGAGCAAACGCAGGTCGCAATTCTTCTCCCGCGCGAACCGGTAGTCGCCCTTCTCGTAGCGGGCCGTCACAGGTGCCCCCGCCT